ACTTTTATTATAAAAAGAAGCTTACTTATATTTTAAATATAAATGATAAATTTAAAAAAGGGAAAAAAGAGCAAATTGACCTATAAATTATAGGTTAGGAGCTTCTGAGATTTTAAACTCTTTTTTTGTACAATATTTTTCTTGAATTTTTAAAAATAATGCAATCTAATTACTATCGTTAACAAAAGTTAATTTTAACTGTTAGTTTATAAAAAAAACCTCAAAAATTATAGAAAATTTAAAAAAAATTACAGTAAAGGATTAAAAAATTACATATAAGGATCCAAAATATTACATATAAAGATCAAGAAAATTTTATAGTTTTGAGGTACTTTTTTTTTTATTTTTTTGATCAACTAACGATTAAAGTCAACTTTAATACTAGTGACCAAATTGCACAATTTCTCAAAGTTAAAGGAGAACATTATATAAAAAATAAATTTAAGGTTCCTGTACATATAGTTTAGTGACTAATTTGCTCTTTTGCTCTTAAAAAATGTTAATAAATATTTGTAGATTTATATAATTTACACTTTATTTTGAATGAAACCAACGGTATTTAGATAAGGGAAAAAAGTCAAAATCACATGTTCTCCGTTAAAAAAAAAAAATGTTTAGAATAGCTTTATCCTGCAACTTGCGAAATCTACTTAGTTTGAAGGAAAAATCACAGCCAGGATTGCTGGAGAAATGTATTCACAATTGAGGATCAATTAATTTTGAAATTACATTACAATCTTAAAGGTCTTAATTGTAATTAATTTGCACTGTAAAAAGATAAAAATGCCCCTATAATAACTATGTGTTCAAAGTCGGTGAACGACAACACATCATTTTGGAAAAAAACCCCCTTTTTCATTTTAACAATAAATTATTTGTGTATTTAAACTCATGACTTGTGAAAAGCCTATGTTTAAAGCTAGTGAACGACACACCTTCTGAATAAAACAACTCTTCTTCTCATTTTAACAACAAATTATCTTGTGTCAAATTTCTTGACTTGTAAAAAAGTTGTATTTAAAGTTGGGGAACGACAAACCATTTGAAAAAAAAAATAACTCTCATTTTTATTTTAACAATAAATTATTCTGTGTGTTTGAACTTATAACTTGTGAAAAGGCAAATTACAGTTAGACCTCCATTATAGAGGCTTTTTTGTCTTTTTACAGTGTAAATTAATTATAATTAAGACTTCCGAGACTACGGTATAATTTTAAAATTAATTGATCCTCAACTATAAATATATTTCTCCAGCAATTCTTGGCTATGATTTTCGTTAGTTTGAATACGGTATTATAGAAAAAGGCAAACACACACGAGAAGGATAAGAACAAAAATTAAAAAGTAGATACTGCCCCTCATCCTAAACGCGTGAATGAGCTGAGACATTTGTTGTAGTTATAACTGATAAATATAAGATATTCATTCTTTTTGTCTCCTATATTTATTATTTTCTAAATTATATTCTTACGAGTTGGACGTTTCTTTAAGCTTTTAAATTTCAAATTTCAATATATATTAATTATTACTAATATTAATAATGAGAGGTATTTTTAAAAAATAACATATTTTTATACATAATTAACTTAACTAATTTCTCTAATCCAAAAAAATTAGTTAATGATCTCCCACATTTAACATGAGAGGAAGTATCTAAATAGAAAATAAATTATAATTCATATCTTCATATCATATTAACTTGTCATCCTAATGTCAATTATTTTGCAAAGTAGAACAGATAATAAATCTCATTAGAAAGATTGAGGAATGAAGAAATGTGAAAAATAATAAAACATAAATAATGTCAGTGAATTATTTATGTTAGAAGGAGAAGAAATTTATTATTCATTTTCCCAAATTCCCCATTACTATTTTAATGTTTTATATGTCATTATTTGATATCTCATATGATTATTTTTTATATATCATTATTTGATATCTCACATGATTAATTTACAAGGAGAATGACAAAAAAATATCTGCAAAATATGTAAATAACAGTTAAGTGCCATGAAATGTGGTAATTATTAGGGAGAATAATATTGAAGCCCCACACAAAAAAAATTAATTACTACAAGGTCCATTGATAGCTAAACTAAATTGTATTGATAACACAATCAGTTGTGAATGCAGTTTAGTTCAGTTGTCAATGGACCTTGTAGTAATTAATTTTCTTATGTGAGACCCGATTGTAATTCTCTCTCAACGACTTTTTTGACATTTTATTTTTAATGAAATGTTGTATTTTCCTTCAGTGACTATTATGCATTGGAAAATGACTACTTTAATTAGACTATTAAGTAAAAGGATTAATGAGCATTTTAAATCCTAAAATATTAGTCAAATAGCATTCTGGACTCTAAACTTTTAAAATGAGCAAAAACTCTCCTCAATTTGCAAATTCTGAACAAACTACCCCCTAATGTTTATTCATCCAACGTTGATCATTATGTAAGCCCAATTAACATACCACATGTCCAGAGGTGATTAATGCCACATCAGCCTTTGAAAAGATCTGACAAAGTTAAAGTAATGGTGGTTTTATGTAAATTAATGGTTGGAGGTAATTTGCTAATCGAGTAATAGTTTAAAATTTATGATACTCATTTTAAAAGTTTAAGATCCAAGATTTTATTCGAGTAATAGTTTAGAATTTACAATGCTCATTAACCCTAAGTAAAATGAAATAAAAAATAATTACTTTTTTCTACAATTTTGTTAATTACTCGAATACAAGTATTAAATACCAGTGACTATTACATACGTTGGAAAATTACTATGTTAGTCGGATTATTGACTAAAATGAAATGAAAAATATCTAATCCTTTTTCACAAATTTTAGATTTATTGGTGTAAAGTTTTTTTTTCAGTAGTGAGATTAAACGGAAGGATGATTTAAAGAAATTGACATTACATTTTTTTTTACTTATATAATAATAACAAATAACTAGCTTAACGAATTTTATTAGTTTATATAAACTAGTTTACAAGCTCTGATGTTTAGAATCAAAGGGAGTATTACAACAAAGGTTGATACGGTTTGTAATATTTGGCCCATAACTTATAAAAGTTGTAGGTTCAAATCTTGTTGTTGATATGAGAACCTTATTGGCAGATGATTTGCAAGTAGTTTATTTAAATTATTTTGTTCACAAAATAGTGCTAAATATATATATATATATATATTATAAAAAATTATGTATTTAAAAAATTTTAAATAAAAACTCTATATATATATATATATAAATGTTATATTAGTTATCATTTTTATTTAAAAAATTAAACTTACTTATAAAGCGATATATATATATATATATAGATTATCATCTTAATTTGAACATAACAGGAAAAAAGATCAAAATGTTTAGATGGCATGAATTGCATGCATTATGAGTAATAATTTAATAATCAAAATTTAAATCAATTTTGTAGCAAAAATGCCAAAATAGGATGACAAGAAAAGGGGATAGACAAAGCATTTTTATTAATTCATATATGCATAATATTAATCATTTCATATAAAAGACTAAAAAGTGAAAGGATCACAAAATTAAATTAGTTTGTATTTAAGTGATAATGTAAGCATGTCTTGATTAGAAGGACTTTTATTGTTATTTAGATAATTAATTTTTAAAAAAATATATAATTTTTTATGTAAAGAATAAAAAGAGATAAATTTATAACTTTTAAAATTTTAAAAAAATGACAAAAAAAAATTTTTTTCCTACAGGTTGGCAGAATTACAACTTGCATAGGATGTGGATCGTGCAAATCCACCCTGTTAAACCTGCAATCCATTGCAGTCGTGGGTAGATCTATATTATTAGTGCTATTTATAAACGCTCTTTGAGTTTGGAGGCATGCTCTGATCATATTAAATTCTTAGAATCCAACTCACCTGAACTTTTTTATATCAAGAAAATCATAGGGAGCATTTAAGTATGAAATCAATTATAATTCATGTATTCATTATATTAATTAACTGTCCATCTTAATGTCAATATTTTGTAATTAACCGTAGAAAAGATAATAAATCTCTATTAGAAAGATTGAATAATGAAGAACTGAGAAAAATAATAAAATATAAATAATGTCATATAACGTTGGGATTGTTGGATTTGTATTTAAATTTTATATTATGTTTCAAATTTCACATTTAGAATTTATGTATTTAAAATTCTTTATTTTGGCAATTTTAAAAAAAATCAAATGAGTTAAGATTCAAATCAAAAATAAAAAATTGAAAGTAACAAGTTTATTTATATTTTTAATCAATGAAAGATAAGAGCATAAAGGTATTATTAGTAAAAACATGAAGAGAACAAAAGGTTTGAAAGTGATTGAAATTTCAAAAAATTAATGTATAAAGGTAATTTAAAATTACAAAAAAAAATGTACTAAGGGATGCAATCTATAAATTTTTGTGTATCTAAATTAAATGAGAGATTTGATCCAAATTCAAATCCCCATCCAGCCAATCACACCATTAATTATTGATTTTATGTTAGAAGGAGAACAAAACACAGAAAACTAACCATGTCCAATGGATTAACAAACGATAAAAAATAAGGTTAAAGGATAAAATTATGAAAACGAATCGTATATAGAGGAAAGCTGTAACATCCTGATTTTTTATATAATAAAGAAATTGTGGAATTTAGGTTTTGAGAAAAAAATGATAATAATAGGAATTTATATTATTTGAGGTTATTTAGAAATAATATTATGGTTAGGTATTTAATTATAAATTTAAAAATTTAAATTTAAAATCACATAAGCAATATTTAGTTAAGATATAATACATAAATAATTTTTTTTATGTATGTGTTGAAAAAAAAAGAGAAGGTAGAAGGAACAAAAAAAAAAGGGGGTGGAAGGTTGTTGTTTCTAAGTCCCACATTGGTTAGATGAGGAGAAGAGAAGAGGTGCCTTCATGTATAAAAAGGAGGGGGTGTGTGCATTAGGAAGCATGAGAGGCTAAGATGTAATTTAGAGAAAATTGCAACTTTTGGCCCAAAGGTTTGAATAATTAAATTCAAACTTATAGTTTTTTTTAATATAATTTTGGGACTCACAATCCCATTTTTATATTATTTTTCTCTCTTCCTCTCACGTTGCTCGGCGTTTTCTCGCAAGGGGAGATTATTTTCTTTTTCTTCAGGTATGTTCTAACTTTCCTGTTTAGATTAGCATTTAAAAATTTATTTAATTACAAAATTAATTTTATAGTTATTTTCTAAATAATATTAGCTTTCTAGTGATATGATTATTTTGTAGGATAGAGTAAATATTTTGATTAGGATTTTTCTATAGGATAGTTAATCTGATGATATGATGGATTAAAAATATAGGTTAAAATTCTTAGGGATATAAAAAAATATTATAGAATATTTTCTTAAGGTTGAAACTCATGTTTAAGAATTTTTGAGTTAAAATCTAGATCTATATGGTTGAATTTATGTGAAATCTGAGACGTAGGGATAAACCTATGATTATTAAATATTTATTTAAGTATGAATAGGTATTTTTGAGGTTATAGAAAGGTGATTTGAGGCTTCAGGATAATTCTAAAATTTTTAATTTATTTTTGGATGAATTTTTAGAATATGGAAGGATGAAATTGTGATACTAGAAGTGAATTGAGGATAAAAAAAAATAGTTCATTAGGGTACGAGAATTTTAGAAAAGTATTTGGGAAGTTAAATGAGGTATAAATCTTAAATTAGTGTTAATATGGACTATAGATCTAAGACTTTCTAACTCTTTAAATTAGAGTTATTTATTTTAATGTAAAATTAATATATAGTATTGTGAAATAATTATGTAGATTATATTGACAAAGATAGTGGTGAAAAAGGAGTTGTGAAGGGGAACTTGTTATTCAAGACACAAGGTAACCATTATTAATGTGTTGTGATTGGTGTGTTTGTAAATGGTTATGTGTTATTTTATTGTTTGGAAAAATTATGAATTATTGAAAATAAATATTGTTATATACTTCTGTGAAATCATTGCCAAGTGGGTTAAAAATTTATTTTTGTTTATCATGATGAGATATTATTGTTCGGATATATTTCTGTTTGGATATTTGAATGATGCATGACTTGTCAGGGTATTTTAATGAATGGTGTTAATGGGAATTTCTGTTCGGTTAATTATTACCATGTGGTAAGCCCTCATTGGACCCAATGAGTGGCGTGTCGCTTGGTCCAACTCACCTTTGGCCGGGTGATTTGGCGTCCGAGCATGGCGAAAGGAGGATATAAGGTGCAGTCATGCAAATTAAATACTTGTTTGGTTTGTTTGAAAGTATTGTTCGGTTAAATGTTTTGTGTGCCCACTTAGCAATCGCATGATTAGTTACATCCGCATGCATCATTACATATTAATTTCTGGTTACTGGGACTTTTAAGTCTCATTCCCCGTGGTTAATATTTTTACAGGAGCGAGTCCGGCCGAGAAAGCATCAGAGGTGTAATTATGGTGTATGAGACACCATCTTTTACGTTGCCTCTTATTTTGGATTATACAATGTATCTTGTGCCAACTTAGGACATATCTTCTTTGTGGAGCATGTAAACTCTAATCCTTTTTATTAAATGCATTTATATGTTTAAGAGGATTATGTCTGTCCCTTTTAATTTATGACCTGATTTGAATAACATGTTATGAGGATCATGTCTGTCCCTCATGGTTCTAATTACTTTTTAAAATATTTTAAGACCTGTGGTATATTGTCTTAGATGTATCATGGTAGAAATTTTTTTACCATGATAATGGTTTTAATAATTTGTGAAAAATCAGTTTGTAAATTTGAGGGTGTTACAAAAGCTATCCACTCCATCTAGCTCTATATATAAAGAGTAAATTGCACCTAAAGATTTATATATATATGTATATATATAAAGAGTACGTTGCACCTAAAGATCCACGCAACAAATATTGACCCTTCACTAGTTTAATTACCTTGCATGTCAAGTAATTGAAACCTTCTTCATATATAAAAGCTTATACATATGTTTGTCTGAAAAAAATATTGAAAAAAAAATAACTTTTAAAGAAAAAAGAATCAGAAGAATATATATATATATATATATATATATCCTTCACGTCTTCCATGCTTAATCTTTGAACTGGGTTTTCCCTTTGGGCGATGATGAGAGGGACTCTAAGATCCATCTGTTACTGCTGCTGCCAAGGCCAGAGTTTCCGTTATTAATGATCGAAGTCGATGATGACGACGCGGCAGTCGTCCCTGAAGGATTATTAATTATGGAAGTTATTGCTGCTGCCACAGCAACCCTAAACTTAGGATCTGAAGCTATCGCAGACACACTTTGATGATGATGATGATGATGATATCCAAATGGTAATAATGGAAGTGCCTTGCTGATATTTCTTGAGTGGGAAAATTACTACTGTTTGGTGTCCAAGAAAATCTGGGTGGTGAAGATGATGATGATGAGGTTGAGGTGAGATCGAGAACGAGTCCTTTGGAAGGGTCAATGTTATTATTATTAGGGTTTGATTGGATGTTGTAATATTGGTTAGCTGCATTATAAGCAGTGGAAGCCATGGCTGTTGCACCTACTGGGAGAGGATGATTGTGTGTTCCTTCATATGTTGTGATTAATATGGACATGTCCTCTAAGCATCTCTGCACCTGAAATTAATTAACATGCATGTATGTCACACTCACACCTATATATAGCAATGTTCTGTGTGTTAACAAGTTCGAATTATGTTTTTACCTGCTTTCTAGCTAATAAAGAAAAACAATGGCAAATTAATAAGAAAATAAATACTGTGCCCAATGTGGACCCCATAACTTATTTTCTTCTCCATTTTCATTTTGTCTTGATATCTCCTATTAGTTTTCTCCTCTAGTTAGTTTCTTCTTTTACCCTTACCCTAATTGCATCCATCCCAACACAACGAAAATATAGTGACATAGCAAAATCTGAAACATTTGTGTCATTGTGTGTACTCCCTCCTATAGGGCAAGGCTAACTAATTTCATGGTTTTTAAGGAATGATAGTTAATACTTTCCTATATATAAGATGTTTTTAATTAATTCATGCAAAAGTTGGTCATTTACTTGAAAGCACAACATTTTTCAGTTTTGTCCTTGACCAGTTTTCAAAAGTAAATTAATACAGATTTACCAAAAACTAATTAATACAATGCATAGCTTTTTTCCATTTCCAAGACAACATAAGGATAAAATTGTTCATTTATTAAAAAATATTCTAACAACCCTTATATTTAGGGACAAAAAGATTTCTAACTGACATCTTATATATGGGATGAAAGGAGTATATCTTAAATTTATAGAAAAATGTGTAACTTTTCCATTTCGCCTTTCGTTGAAATTATTAAATACTGTAAATGTGTTGTATGCATAGAAATTAGAAAAAAAAAACAAAAATTAACTGTCATATCTTTACCTTATATTTAGAATCAAGTAATGCTTTAAAATTTTGCCCTATATATATTAGGATCAGTGGAGCATTACACCTTTGCATATAAATGATGTATATGTCAAATGCCCAACAACAAGTACATATGAAACAGTGACACAAGAGAACAACTCGCATTTGGATTGTGCATACAATATCGCGCGCGCGCGCGCGCACGACACGCAGGGTTAATGAAATCATAAACTAAAGCTTTGGAGTTAAAAGAAATAAAAATGTGATTAATAAAGTTAATTACCTGTTTTCTGACTGGACAGCCGGGGGCTACAGTGCAGCGATAATAGGCACGAGGACATGGATTCCCTTTGGAAATTTTTTGACCATATTTTCTCCATTGACACCCATCATTCATCTGCATTAGTATATATCAAACACTTTATTATCTCCTTAGAATTTTTCTTAATTATCATCTTAATTATTATGCTCACTTTTCAAATCACAACTCTGGAAATTAAAACTATATATATGTAGTGTACACATATGAAACATCTCTAACGTCTATGTATATAATTCGTATGTGACCAGATATCTATAGTATAGTAGGCTTCGTTTGTTAAACAGGACCCATCGCTATATCTATCTCAAAAAAGGGTGTGATTCAATGTTTTTTTCTCAAAAGAAAAGCATCATATATATGTTGTTTTTCTAATTAATTTGTAGTGTCAATTGTTTATTAAATATTGATGACTGTACAAGCTTGATTGTTTAATTCCTTAGAAATGCATGATGCATGGTCCTTTTCATCATCTCCTTAATGTGAGTGTGCATATGTGTATTGTAATTGGTCTATATATTAAAATTTAATACTAATTTCTGAATTTTTTTATTTAAATGTCTTTTATCAATAATATAAACATTATTTTTTAAAAATATATATTTTATATATTTCAAAACATTTAAAAATAATAAAGAGGAAAAACATCCCATTTTCCCCCCTAATTAAAGGAAAGCACTTAATCTCAATCCCTTTCCGGTTGTCCAAATTTTCTGCAAGATTAGAATGAACTTTTTCTATTTCTGATAGTGATGGACTTGATCTATATATTACCCCGTCCGTTCAATATTATAAGGCTTTTTTTTTGAAGTATCATATTGAAGAATATAAGATATTTTTTGTTTTTCAATGTGCAATCAATAAGATTTTTTCAAAAATACCCTTAATTAGGGATGTAATTAATAAGATTACCTAACTAAAAAGGCATATTAAATAAGAGCAAATATAAAAATAATGTCTAATTTTAAAACAATTAATTAAGTCATTGAAGATGTAATTTGGTTAAAAGCCATATCATTAATACAGAACGGATAGAGTAAATATGACCCACTAGTATATTTATCTCTTCACAGACACATATTCCAGATTCTGATCAGCTGTTATAAATAATGTATTGTGTATAGTGCTAGAAGAAAGATATACTCTCTTTGGTCTTTATTATAGGACAATTTCAACTGTTTCATGTATTATAAATAATGTATTGTGTGCAGTGTTAGAAGAAAGATATACTCTCTCCGATCCTTATTATAGAACATTTTCAACTATTTCACGCATCTTAAAAAAGTTATTTTTTTATATCATAAAAAAATAAGATGTACTTTTAATTTTCACCCTTGACTTTGAATAATAATACAATTATATTAAATATCTTCATGCTAATCAAAGAGGTAAAATTAAAAGAAATTATTTAGTTATTATAATTTATCCTATATTTTGGTCCAAAAATTACTTATAGAAAGTGTCTTGTTATGTGAGTATAATTAATGCATGAAATGTGTGTGTGTGTGTGTGTCTATATAGATATACATATACTTACAGTGGCCGCTTCACATCTGGCTCTAACAGAAACCCTAGCCTTCCTACTAGTTGGAGTTGATGAAGCAACATGGGTATTACTGATACCAGGTGACTGATCATGGTAACTAGTGCGAGCTATCTTGTTCTGTCGTACTGCTGATGAGGTTCCAAAACTCGTCAATTCTAATAATTCCTTGTTATTCTTAGACTCTTCTTTATAAATATTTTCTTCTGGTTCACTCTTACTAGTCTGTAACCTCAGTGATAATCCCAATCCAATCTCCCTCATACCATCATCCTCACCACCGCCAGAATTTCCATTGTTTTCAAGTGATGAGAGAGACATCATCTGGGGGTCCTGATCCAAAGACATTCCAAATTAAGAATTATTATAATATATGAAAAGAGATTAACTATATAATTACCCAATATATATATATATATAATTATATTGGCCAATAATTTATTGAATTATTACTTTTTGCTTTTCGAGGTGGTTCTGCTGGATGACTGCGAATTTCATCTGAAGATCGTAGTAGTCTTTCATGGTTTGCTCCACCTCTTTCCGTAACACTTTGTTTTCTTCTTTCATGCGATCTGTCTCCACTTGTAAAACACTTAGCTCCTAGTCATCCCAGAAATCATAAGTTCTAATTAAGACCATGCCCTTTAGTTTAAATGACCACCCCTCTCTCTATATATGTATGTATGTATGTGAGCGCTCCTTCCCGTTCAATTTACAAAGAAGAAATAAGATTTTTTTTTTGTCCTTGTATAAGGCATGTGCCATTGAATTCTCATATCACAAATTATTTTTAATATATTAAAAGTGACTTATAAATAGAATTAATTAATCATATAAACACAGGTAATTAAGTATGTCATACTTAATTAAAATTATTAGAAGTATGAATCAATCGATCTGTCTGTGTGTAGATCTATCTGTGTAAGCATTATTGGAAAAGGAGAAATTGAGATGTTAATTTTCACAGAAAATGTTCTCAAAACAAAAAATTTTAAGATTTCCAAAGCAAGAGATTTAACTTTGAGTTATTAATTAAATCAAGATCCTAGACGATAATACGCGTTGCCGTTTCAAGTGGCAGCCGCCAGGGAGAGAAAGAGATATAAGATGAGTGAATTAATTGATGAGGTTCAATGAGAGAGATCAGCAGTCAGATCAAAAGATAATTAAGTTTGAACTAATGAAAAGGTTAAAAAAAAGTTTTAACATTTATATATAGATTATGGATTAGAAATCAGATCTCGATCTCTTACACAAAACCTAATTAGAGATAGAGAGTGTAATATAATAGTGAGGTTTTTTTCTTCCTGTACTGCAATAATCAAAAGAAAGAAAAGTGTGTGTGTGTGTGTAGATATATGAATACATACCTCTCTTGTTTTAGTGTTCTCCGCCATTGACCCATTATCATCTTCTTGTTGTTCTCGTGTCTGATCTCCTGCTGCAACCATGGTGGCTTCATGATGAGGAGCTTCTTCTTCGTCAACCTTCACTGCTCGTGCCATTTCTTCATCATCATCATCATCTTCTTCTTCTGCCTTCTGAACTGCTTCTTCATCGTCAATAATCTTCAAAGAGAGATCCATTTTCTGCATCTTTTTGTCTTCTTCTTCCTCCTCTGATCTACCCATTTAATTCTTGCAGAATCTGTCTGATCTATATATATATATATTTCCTTTTGATTTGGGCCCTTTCTATTATAGCTCTTGTGTTGTGTGATATATATAAATGATACTTAATTCTGAGAGGCAGCACCAAAGTCAAATCCTTCGTCTCACAAAGACGTATTCTTCTTGGACACACTGGGACGCATCTTATTAACTTTGACTTTCATTAATTTTACTATCAATTATTATCTATCTACAATATACATTCCAATTTATTTTTTTTAAATTTATTTTTGGTCAATAATTTCTGTTGATAGATGCAAATATAGGTTCTGTGGGCACCGGCTATTTTTTTTTATATAATTCCTTGATGCCTTCTCATGCATGACCAAATTAATTGATTGGTTACAATTTACAATTATATTTAATAACCCTAGATGCTTCCTAGTGAGGCTTAAATATTAGTCATTAATTAGTCAATTTTTTTAATAATGGGTCATAGAGCTTGTATTATTTGTTGTCTAATTGATTATATTTAGAAACAAAAGGCTTTTTAAATTTCCTGCCATATGCCCCGCCTACTTAATTATTCGTAAAAATTAATAACTAATTAAAATTAGCATGTGTGATAGGAGCGGCTCTGTCACTTAAATAAGTGATTGAGTTTGAATTACAGTTATTATGTATATAATAACTTAATTAAAAAATGTCTACCATTTGCCTTACAATACTTGGAGAAAAATAATCTTTAATTATTTATAAGTTAAAAATTATTTAATATCATATAAATAATTAATTAAAAGTTATGTAAGATGAGAAAAGTCAATTTATACTGCCAAAAGTGAGCCGCAACAAGCAAGCCAGAGCCGTTTGACATTAAATATATCTATCGGTTAGAATTTAACGCGGACGTAAATTAAATATAAAGTTACACCAACGAAAAGAATTCTTAAAGGGTTATTTTTTAATTATACTATAGAAATAAGACAGCTGGCACTTATAATTAGGTTAATTGAATAGTAAGAAACTCAACATAGCCCTTGAATGCCGTTCAAATTGAAATCTTAAGGAGGAAGGAAAAAAAGACTCCCTGTAGTGTTTTACATAAGTCACTTTTTAGTTTTTTTTAAGAGTTTTATAGTTAAAAATGTAATTATCATACAAAGCCTGTGAAACATTAATTACCTCATTTTAAAAATGTCATTCCTATTAATTTCAAATGAGATTATGAAAAAAAAAGTATACTTTTATGGTCCTGTTTATAGAAAGTCCTTCACCCAAATAAAAAAAAAACATTAATTTTGTTTAAAAATTTAATATATTCTTAACCCTACGCTCTTACCCCTATTGAATATATATAATTTAATAACATTTCTCTCACTAACATTTAATGAAAGATAAAAGAGAAAATTTATAATAAAAATCTAATAATGTGACTTATTTTATAAATAAGATAAAAAAATTTCTCACATTATTATAAATAGGATTAGAGAGAGAGGGTATTTTTTTAATTTATAATATTTATCCAGGGCAGAGATGAGAATTAAGAAATTTTTATATAAACAATTTTAATGACACAACTAATACTTTTGGTCATGCCGAAATAGTTAGAAAGTAATCAATAGGATTAAAAGGAAAAATACTCAAAGTTTTATTCAATGAGCTAGAAATATTCTTAGTTATTAATTTACGGCACACTCTGTAAACCGTGAAAAAAGATCTCTAATTCATAACAGAAGCAAGATGTTCAAAGTAAAGGTTGTGAGTTTTACATATTATGCCAAAACTGGTGCGAGAAAGGGGGTTAAGGGGCAAAAAAATACACATAAAACCATTCTGCCAAAGAACAACAAGCATCCTAAATTACACAACATGCATGTTACAATATTGGGCCCCATCAACTAGTGACAGATCTAGACAAGTTAAATAGTGAGAGAAAATTTTTTACTCAAGTCAAGTAATAATTACTTTTAAAAAAATATGATTTTAAATATTTGTTAAATTACATTATAGGTAAACATTTGTTAAAATTAAATACTGCTACTAAATAACAAGGCCTGTAAATTTTATAGCTACTAAAAAATTTCTTTATATTAACATACAAAAGTTAGATTAAGTGAAAGATGAATTCTTTTATAACATAGCAAATCAATATTTGAATTCTTGTTGAAAGAGTTGCCCACATTTAATAGCTGACTGTGCCTTAAATAGGATTGCTTCTAATAAGAGTTCAATTTTGTTTTATTTTTATTAAATAGAATTTATATTATTTCTTTTTTGTATGGAAGAGAAACAATTGAAAAATATTTTTGATAATTCCTTCAAGCAACCCAAGATTTTTTTTATAGTACCGAAGGCTCAATGGCTAGTATAGAAGGCTGGTAAAAAGTGGGAGAGTCAAGAAGGTGGAGAGAATATTTGGGTTACAATTTGCTACAATAAGTCTATAATTAGACTCCATTTAGTTCTAATTCAGTCAAGTTTTTGGATTTTTATTTAATTTTTATATTTATTTTTCATGTATTTTGTTTATTTCATATTTTAAACTTTAATAGCCTATTATAGGGTTTTGAACTTAAGTTAACCGTTAGGATTTTCACATTAAAGTTGGCCAAAAAAAAAAAAGGATTTTCACATTAGGGTTTTTAGAGATCCTAGTTGAGTTAGTAGTCTTTTATTTCTTTAAATATCATATAAATGGCATATGAAGAATATGTGCAATAAATAAATTTTTTCTTTAATGTGCTTTGCTTGTTTATCAGTATTCAGGATTAAATACCATGGGGCTTTTTGGGTAATCATGACATTGAGAGTTCCTTATTTAAGATATCATGAGTTTGGTTTCAACTATTTGTATGGATATTTTCAATTAATATGTTCTTAGAGAAATAACATGCCATTAAATTTTAAATTATTATAAATTATCGGCTTCCATATCACTCATTGATAGATGCAATTCACATTACTATAAAAAATACTTTTTACACCTGCTTTTTATATTGGTTAAAATTTAATTGGTGTACATAGTATATATAGTATGTGGTGGCATTTTATAAAACAGGTGTAAAAAATTATTTTCAATCAATATAAAAAGTGTTTTTTATAGTAATGATCAGTTAAAAATAAAAATTATGTGGTGGCATTTTCTAAAACAGGTGAAAAAAAATATTTTTAATCAACATAAAAAGTGTTTTTTGTTATAATGGTCAGTTAAAAATAAAAATGCCTTTTATACTTTGAAGGATTGCGTAACAAAGCTCTCTTCCCTTTCAAGTCCGACACAGCCTAAACATCCGCAACAGTCAACCAGAATTTTTTTTTTTTTTGGGTCAAAAGTCAACCAGAAATTTATAGTTAAATGTATTTAATGGTTCGTTAAGATCCGTGCCCTACCGAACTTTCTTAATTCTGATTAGTTCCTTGACGCTCGTTATTAGTCTCTTTGGAATTCATGTTCATATTCACGTAATCAAATTCATATATGTATATGATGACACGTAAGATATGGTTAGCCACTTAATCACCCCTGTATATTTATATTTTAGGAATAGAAAACTTTCATTTTTCGTTCAAATGCAAAAATATCCCTTCTAATTAATGTCATATATCTAAGGAAAAAAATAATTACCACTTATTTATTAACAAAAATTATATTGTAAATTATTTTATTTGCTAAATTACAACCTTTCTATAATGTTTAACTAATTCAATAATACTCATTCATAACAGTTAAGTGCAACTACATTTTTTTGAATCAAAGACAAATTAGAAAAAAAGAATGCCTTTAATGCACATGATAGAAGGTCGTTCTTACAGAGGACTTATGCTTTTTCTATTTTCATTTACAAGTCACTCCAACATATTTTATTAAAATTTAAAACTAAAAAAAATCTTATTACTTTTTTCTAAGTGTAGTGTCTTTCTATATTGACTATAAAACTGTTTATATTTTTTTTATTGGTACCCTAATTAGTTGCTTTCCAACTGAGGGGGCCCCCAAGGTGTCCCCATGGCTTTAGCTCTTTAAACCAGCTATGGGACTAATCTTTTAATCAGCAGCATAGTAGAGAGAGTTTCGTCTCAAAACTTGCCACCTCCTAAAAGGGTCATCTTAAGAAATCAAACTTGAATTCTCTTTTTTAGGGGTTGTAGTCCACTTCCACTACGTCAACCCCTTATTGGTAAAAACGTATATATTTTTATAACAACACTAATTGCAGAATCAGTGTAAAAAATGATTTTAATTGTTGTAAAAATTAAAAAAAAAACTTTTGTACACAAATGTCTATCTAAAATTTTAACAATCTTCCAAATTTGCCCTTTTTAATGAAGGAATGGGTAAAAAATTTCAAGAAAATTTTTAATAATGTACACCAATATTTAATGAGAGTAAAAGAACAAAACTTAGAATAAAAATTACTGATATATCTCATAATTAGGGGGAAAATCTATCTGTCTCTATATGCAATGTGACCGAGATTGATCACTACATGTATTTACTATCAAGAAACCTCCGAATTTTGCTCTAAGTCCAAGGTACTTGTTGTCAAAGGAATCTCTCTCTCCCTCCCTCTCCCTCCCTCCCTCTCTCTCTCTCTCTGTTGTATAATGTTATTTTTCATTGGAGAGTTGACCATTGAATAAAAATATAGTTATTGTATACAGTGGTGAGGGAGACGAAAGCAAGCCATCAATGGTAGAGTTGACCTGGGGAGGGGCGAAGAATATTGTCTTAAAATTAATTTTTTTAAAAAATAATTTAATAGTTTAAAAAAATATCTATTGTATTACATATTGGGCTTTGAGTTGAAAAGCTAAAAAAAATTATGAGTTAAAAAATTAAATGAATTTAATGTTCAAAATATTAAAAAGAGGGTTCAAAATATGAAGAGAATATATGACGTGCAAAATCTACAAGAGTTAATATATAATTTAAACTTTAAATTATAAGTTCAAGGGTGATTTGAATTTTAAACTTTTGAAAAATATATATTTAAACTTTAATAATCAAGTTAGGGCAATTTCAACCCTACCATTAAATTTAAACAAACTTCTTTTAGTTTT